CATTCTGCCAAGGTGAGGGGGCTAATCCACCGGGGGGGGGTCACCGGTCCCTGATTCCACTTAACCTAACCTACCACGCAGCCCCCTATACCCATGGCCCTGGCTGGGACCTGGGACCTGGGGAAATGTGCTCACTGTTTTCCCTGGGGCCCCTCCCCTAATCCGGTCAGCACCCGAAATTGGTTTGAACGGGGCAGCGGGCAGCCGAGATCCGCCAGGGCCACGCTCACCGAAGTACTGCAATGCACTCATGGGCCTGCGGTCAAGATCTCCCGCTGCCCACTACTCCTCGACTTCTTCAAGGTGCGCCCCGACGACCTCAAGCTCCCCACCGACAGCCAGTGAGTGGCCTCCTTTCCTGTTCCGAGGCAGGTGGGAGAGGAAATGGGGTGGTAAACGCCCCCCAGCAGGGTGGGACTTCTCCCAGGTTACAGGTTAGGAGGCTGAAGCTCAGAGAGGGGCATTGACTTGCCCGAAGTCACACAGCCAGAAAGAGAAGGAGGCGAAATTCCAACCCTGGCGCGTGTGACCTGCAGCCACTCAGCATCCTTTCCAAGTCTCCACTTGGACCCCTCTGAGCATCAAGGCTGCAGGAGGCACTGGGGGGCGGGGGTCCAAAAGCCTTTTGAAAACAGTTTACCCATGTGTGATGGGGCAGTGAGGGCCAAATGTAGTCCCAGGTGCTACGGAGAGCAGCGGTTCTCAACCTGTGGGTCTCGACCCCTTTGGCGGTCGAACGACCCTTTCACAGGGGTCGCCTAAGACCATCGGAAAACACATATATAATTACGTATTGTTTTTGTGATTAATCACTATGCTTTAATTATGTTCAATTTGTAACAATGAAAATACATCCTGCATATCAGATATTTACATGACGATTCATAACAGTAGCAAAATTACAGTTATGAAGTAGCAAGGAAAATGATTTTAGGGTTGGGTCACAGCATGAGCAACTGTGTTTAAAGGGCCAGAAGGCTGAGAATCACTGGCTTACAGAGAGTGAAGTGTGAGAGGATGTGGGGCCCGTGGCCTCTGTGAATTGCTGAACAGGTCT